TACACCTGATCAATCAAACAGATTAATTTTCAAAAAATTGTCAAATTCCTTGGTTTCTACTTTTGACGGCCCATATATTCTGTAGCTAAAATCTAAGTTAATATTTGGATACTATACAAAAAGTATATTTTATATAGAATAATATATATTATATAGTTAATATCCAAGTACTGTATTTTACTCTATAAAGAACCAGATATTTTGTATTCAACTACAAAAATTTTTATAGAAAATACTTTGATATAGAGGTACTATAGTCTATACTGTATAGTAATATGCTAATATATTAAGCTCATCTCTATTTAATAAAAGTATTTGACTTGATATTTAATAAAAATATAATTAATATATATAAAGTGGCATGCCACCCTAATTTTTTGAGACAATGGCATGCCAAGGGTGGCATGCCAGTAGTCACCATGCCAGGTTCCCTACTCCCTTTTCGTCACTCATATAGATATACATGTATCAGAATACGTTGTTTTATAATTAAATTTAATGTACTGTAATATATAAAATGGATTTAATAATATTTATGTTAGAAGGTACTCTAAGGTATATAAAATTTTAGATAAATATAAAAGTTTATAGCACTGTATCAACACCTTTCTGTAGTATCAAAACTATTAAACAATACTTTTTTTTTTCTTTTGTTATTCTTTTCTATCTTTCGTTTTCATTTTATCAGCTATACAAATCATCGTTTTTCCAATAAGGAAATCTCTATCTTGACGATAACTTCCAATTTGTACAATTCTTCCCAATGTTCTCAATGCTAAACGATGATTTTGCATTGCTGATTCTCTTAAATTTTTCAGTGCGAACGCATATCTATCACCATCAAATACAGCCGGTCCATTTAACAAGGTATACGCGTACCAATATTGCGCATCTGGATGCTGTAATTCTGACGCTTGTTGGAGGTATTTTATACATGTTTGATCATTCTTTTTAACATGATATCCTTTAAGATAATAAAATCCCATCCAAAAATTTGCATGTGGGTCATCAGAATGAAGATTGTACCATTCATTAAAAGTTTCCCATGCTTGTTTGTATTTCTTCTTTTGATGATATTTAATTCCTTGTTCTATTTCATCTGATCTTGTATAATATTCACTAGATTGGCAATATTTTTTAAATTCCAAACATTTTAATATTGCATCATTTGATGGCCCAGTATCTACAATACTATCATAATAGTCATCATCTGTATCTTGATAAAAATATATAAAGTTTGGCCTATTCAGGTATTCATGGATTGTTCTCATATCAGGACGTGCAGATGGATCTTGAGACCAAGATTTTTCAATAATTTCTTGATATTTTGTCAGTGTGCTATCTGTTGATGTAAGTTCTGGACGGGTTCCACTAAGTACTTGATTTGTAATTTCTTCTTCCGAAATAAAGTTGGTAAAAGGTAGTTTTTGATATTCAATCGCCCACATGACCAGCGCGAAACTTTTTAATATAAACACAATTATATTTTTATGTAAATTGAATTAAATTCATTAAATTCATAGATTTATTAAAAGATTTTTAAAATTACCTGTATACTTCACTAGCTTTATTGTATGTTTCACCGCGAATTCTCTCTGGTGAACTCCACCTAAAATAAAATAAGTTGTTAAAAATAAATACATATGTATTTATTTGTCTGAATTAGCGTTTGGACCCGTCTAAAAAATCTTAACCCAAGTCACCCGGGTGGAAACCGGGTCAACTAAGAAAAGTCGCTCATCGGGTCACCCGACGGGTGAGATATAATTCATCCGAGTATAAGTTGATCAGAAACCGGGTTACAGCTGTTTTTATAAATTTTCGAACAAAATGAAAAAATTGCCGAAGACCGAATCGACAAGTTTAATTTTTGCTGACGTCGGTGACTCAAATCCTATAAATAAAATCGAAAATTTTCCGCGTCCCTAATTATAACTCTGTAGCTTATCAATTCGGTTATTGAGAAATTTTTCAGTTCCAGGATTTATGAAAACAGCTGTAATTACATCCATGGGCCACCCGTGGTTTGGCTTACGGTTGACATACTGTTTTCACCCAAATCGCCACAACTCAACCTGTAACTCACCGGGTCTAATCACTAGTTTGAATAACAAGTTTTGGTAAATTACCTTGAAGTATCTAACGATACTGATGATGATGTTAACATTACTGGAGTTTCTTTAGCAATTCGAAAATTATACAGTCTGGGATGTAAATGCTTATCCAATAATACATTGTCACTAATTATAAATTTAAGAGATTTAATTAATAAGATATCAACATTGTATTGTGTGATATTACATGATACTAACGTTCTAACATCATAATGTAAAATTTCTCTTTCATGGCAAAAATCCAATGCACTAGCAATTCCACGTGCAATTGACAATTTATCTGCTAAATCAAGGTCTGGATGATCTTCAAGATAGGTTCGCAAGTTATAATCTTCCCAATGTGAAATTACGGAGAAACCAGTGGATCGACGACAGTACCCATAACTTAGAAAAAAAAAAATTTTTTTTAATAAATTATTTAATAAGTTTCATATTATAAATTCATCAGACAAAATTCTAAGCTTACAATTCAAGGATATGAGAACATTTACGAAGATCATGCATAAATTTAACTTCGTTCTTTAATTCATACAAAAATTCATCATCATGCCGACAAATAGGATCATCATCATGTTGACAAATAGTTGTTTCAGCAACTTTAATACATTCTAAGTAAGTTCGTTGAACTATATGACTTTTACGTCCTCTAACCATCTTACCCTCCGAAAGTTGACTTTCAACAATCTCAAATTGTTCAAGTCGTCTCTGAGGAATAAGAATGAATTTAGCAAAGGCTATGACTTTATTTTTAATTTGGTACCAATAATTTTGTTTGGCTTTCCAGTTTTCGATTTCATTTTGCAATTCGTTATCCGTTTGAACCAATTCATTTATTAGATGAATGATCTTTCCACGAATCTATTTAACATTATATAGAAATTATTAATGAAATAGCATTTGTAAAAATGGATATATCAAAATTAAAAATAAAATATTGAATTAAATACCTCAATCTCATCGGTACAATTATTGTAACCGAGAAAAAGACCGGTCTCCCAAAAACAATTTCTTAATTTTTGGAAAGTCTCGGATGCTTCGATAAATTCTTTGAATCTATGATTAACAGTTGTTTTATTATCCTCTTCTTTTGAGGACTCATTAGAAGATTCATTAGAAGATGAATTATTAATGAACATCAATCTATTAATTTCTTTCAAAGTATTTTGGCTTTGTTTAGCAGCTTCCAATCCCTTAGCACATAAATCTTTATAATGTTTTGAAGATTCGAATTCTCGTATAGCAAATATTAGTGAATTTTCAGCGATTGAGAGATCTTTACATATTGATTGTAAATTATCGTTCGGTGATAGTGTGCTATCAAAAAAACCACTTTCTCGCTTGTCTTGGGAGGTCATAATGTTTTTCAATGGTTTTCAATTTTAAATGAATTTAGGGATACTCCTATACTTTTTAATTTAAATTCTACGTATTCTGAAAGATATAATCTAATTTTAATGTTGAGAAAAAAACTAAAAAGCGAATAGAGAGACGTTTAAATAAGTTTTTTTTTACTAGTGCTAATACGTAATTAGTAATTCGATCGATGTGTACATTTGTTTAGATCGCATTAACTAAATGTTTATTTCACAGAAATCAGGGGGCAGTATTACAATATATATATGTTGATATACCTTCTTTTCGATTGATTACCTTATTTGAAAGGAAATTTATATCGAAGCAGTTGAAACTAAGTCTATGGTTAGGGTTAGGGTTAAGGATTGAGTGGATATTATTGGTAAAATTGCATCCTTGATATTTTCATTAGTACTCCAAGACAGGTTTAGACACTCGTTTCTTTCATTTTCGGGTTTTCTTTGCTTCACAAAACTTTACGATTTTTGATTGGTTAATTAATATAGATCTCCCAAATGAGGAAATTGAAGTAATATTGGTTCTTTTTTTCCTCATTATAAACGCATGGGTTTTTTTTGATTAAACGTGGGAAATCTTTACTAGAAAAGGATTCAATGAACATCAGTATCAGAGAAGGAAATAGAATACCAAATATTGAATACTTATATCTAACTGATCATTTGAGTAATTTAATTTCTTTAGTTCTCGATGTTTATGTGGTGCATCATTGGTAATAGACATGCACAAAGACAGCCCGGTTTGCAGATCCTTCTGTGTAACATCTATGTATTATGTGTGTAACATCTATTGTATTATGTGGTGTAACATCTATTGTATTATGTGGTGTAACATCTATGTATTATGTGCAATCCTATTGGATGATCATCGTAAATTTTGGCGAAGTTTTCTTAACGACAGTTTTTTAAATTTGTTGAAATTTTTTATAAATTTTTATCAATTTGGCTAAGTAGTTATTGAGAAAACTTCGTTCAAAGTCAAAGAAAATCTTTCTTGCCTATGAGTTTAATTTTTTAAATTTTGAGCTAAGTTTTTTTTTTAATAATTATCCATCTTAGTATCATCGTCATTTATTATCACATTAACACAGTTAAATAATCCCTTCATATTGTTAACTGTTTTAAACAATAAAGTTCCAAATTGTTTATGACGTTAACATTAAGATCATAATGTTCATATTTAATCTGATGGCGAAATTTTGGTGTAGTCGCGTTTACATGAAGAGTGCATTAGGTCATCAATAATACATAATACTGTAATAATGCAACAAATTTTTTCCGTATTTAAGAATGACTAAAGTATTCTTCAATTTGGTTTAAACGAATGTTTTAAATAGCAAGATTATCGAAATATTATCACACTGTGAACGGTCATTCGCAGAGAATGTATGCTTACACCCAACAAATCAATAATAAAAATAAAATTAGGGCGACCACGAATTTTTCGGGTCACGTGATAAACAACAAACCATCCTAAAATTCGGTAAAGTTAGGGTTAATGCCATAATTATGGTTTGTAAAATTAGTTGAATTCTTATGTAAATTCTTGAGATAAAGGTAATGTTATGAATCGGTGCAAAAAACGTAAACGATTAGTTGGTTGAATCTTTTTTAAAAAATCGATTAAAAATCGATTATTGTTAACTAATCGATTAATCAATTAGTTGATTAGTCGGCTAATCGATTAGTTGCTTAGTTGATTAATTAGTAATTATATAATATATTTTAATATAATTTCAAAATTTTTAATTAAAATAAATATAATTTTAATTTTAAACTAACTTAATAACATTAATGAGTATAAATCTAATACGTAAAGGTTTTACTAAAAACTAATTAACATAAAAACAGCTAATCGATTAAGATTAGTTGGTTAATCGATTAATAATTGGGTTAAAATTAGCTAACGATCAATCGATTTTCGATTCATATCACTAGATAAAGAATGTTTTTGTTTGTTTTGGACTTTCCTGATCGTGTTACGTTACACTTAATTACGATTTCCCAGGTCTCTGATGTGTTTTATAAAGATAATGTAGATCGTTTGATCAACGAGTTAATAATTGACAGTTTCAGGTTAGCATTAAACCTAAAGGTTTACAAATTTAGCGTAGACACCATGTACAAATAATTTTTTTAAAAAAAATTAGGTCTACGATAAATATGTAAAATATGTAAATCCCGGGTCTATTTTAGGAATGTCTTTTCTAGTTAGCAATCTCTGACAAAAGATAAATCATTCTACGTATTAGTATACCCATTTTTGGCCGATTTTTATCAATTGAAAATTGTATTATTTCAGGAAGGTATCATATTTTCAAATTACAGTTACAAGTCATTCTTGTACCTGGTAAGTTACCGATGGGTTTAAACTCAACATAGTTTTATAATGCGAAAGTTAATTAAAGAACTTGAAATCATCTGAACAGGCAAAATGCCCTTTTCAAGAAGCCTTAGAAATTAAAGACTTTGGCTACATGAAAATTCAGTCTATTAATTTAGATTAAAAAAATCCGACCGTCCGATCGAAATTTCGAATTCCACGTAATGCAAAACGAAAAATCACCTTTGTGTAGCCTTATGTAAGGTTTAAAAAAAGATTTTATAGAAATTAGTTAGGTGATTGTCAAGAAAACATCAGTTTTAAGCAATTATAGACGGAAAGACTTTGGGCAAAGTTTTCTCGATAACTACTTAGCCAATTTCGATAAAAAAATTTTTATCTCTGAATTATAATTTAGTTAATAAAGTGGTCTAAGAAAGCTACACTCAAATTTTAAATTGGATGATCGACCAATAGGATTGCACATTTGCAATAAAGGTGAAGTTTAGGGTTACCTTTTTGACGCAGTTATGGTTAGTGGGTTATAAAGATATCAATAATGTAATTTTGCAGCATGTAGATCATATATCCGCTTTAGCCGACCCCAATAAAAGGAAATAAAAGGATAATTGCTAAGTAGAAAAAATTTAATGGAAAGTACTGAAAAAGGATTCAATGGCACATAAAGACCAGAAAAAGATTTAATGGAACATTGAAAAATTTAGCATTAGGCTCTAATCCGACAATTACTTAGTTGACTTTTATAAATTACTGAAACATAGTCTTAAATATATCAGTAATGATGATGATAATAAAGTGATAACACTAATGGATTTATATTATAAAGTCAATTTTTGCCTTTGTCCCAAAATTTCGGGTTACCAATTTTATAGCGCAAATTCTATAAACACGATATATAAAAAATTATATTGATCTAATTAATAACGACTAGCCAGTATTTTTTTTTCTAGCACCCACGGATGCTGGAATATCGATATATTTACTGTAAAACGCCATGCAAGGTAGCCGGGTATCTTATATATTGCATGACTTATATGCCCCTGTATTTGCTCACCAGAAAAAAAAATTGTTGATATTAGTAAGTCGGCTATTGATTTGTATCTAGGTATCTCATGATTAGCTCGTCAACAAAGTGACGTAGCCAACGTCATTGATTTTAAATAGCGTTGCCACAAAAAATTGTTCATCTCCGTAATTTTTACAAAGAATAAAATTGCGCTGTAGTTTGGGTTAGGATTAGCGTTGTAAACTTAATTAAATTTAAATACCAAAATAGTTTAATTTACAAAAATATTATTGTTAAGTAATTG